ACTATAAAGAAATTGATATTCCAAAGGTTATATTTGGAGGTGAATCAAGTGGGAAGACGAAAGGTGTTGGAGATATCATCGGAAATGGAATAACCATTAAAGGAGTTTCACATGTTGAAGGACTCAAGTTCAACTTACTAAGTACAATTCAATTCTGTGACAAAGGCTGCAAAGTAGAATTCTCCAAAGACAAATGCAAAGTCATCAGCACTGAAGATGGTGACATCGTTCTCACAGCAAAATGAAAGAAAAACAAGTACGTAGTCGTTTGGAAACTTTCTAAAGCTAATGTTTGTCTTGTTGCTACTAGTAATGCAGAATTAAGCCTAGACTGGCACAACAAGATGAGTCATCTAAATCTCAAAACCATCAACAAACTATCAAAGAAAGATCTTGTGGAAGGCTTGCCGAAAGTAAGCTATGTTAAGGATAGAATTTGCGACGCATGTTAGAAAGAAAAGAAAATCAAGACATCTTTCAAGTCAAAAGCATCAGACATTAACTCTCGTCCTTTAAGTGTACTACATATGGATCTATTTGGCCCAGTTGATCCTGCAAGTCTGAGTGGACGAAAGTACTCCCTCGTCATTGTAGACGATCACTCAAGATATACCTGGACGCACTTCCTAAGAAAGAATAATGAGACTGAGAAAGTCTTACCAGACTTGCTAAGGCAATTACAAACCGAAAAGGGTCTCAACATAATAAGAATCAGGTCAGATCAGGGGACAGAATTTGTAAACAAAGTCATCAAAGTCATCAGGGGGCTGCACAAACTCCTCAGCAGAATGGGGTAGCTGAAAGAAGAAATACAACTTTGAAGGAAGCCTCACGAACAATGATAGCACATTCAGGACTTCCCAAACGCTTCTGGGCCAAAGCCATCAATATCGCATGCTACACTCAAAATCGATCTCTCATCAACAAAGCTCACAACAATACCCCATATGAATTATGAAAAGGTAAGAAACCTGTTGTTAGTTATTTTCACATCTTTGGATGCAGGTGCTTTATTCACAATAACGAGAAGAATCATTTGAGAGCATTTGATGAAAGAGCGAATGAAGGAATATTTATGGGATACTCTTCAACTAGTAAAGCATTCAAAATTCTAAACAAAAGGACCATGGTTATTGAAGAATCTATCCATGTCAAGTTTGACGAAAATATTCAAAAGGCTGCACAAGAAGTTATATCAATAAAAAATATAAGCATGCAAGCTGAACCAAGTCAAATAGAAGAAGAAGATTCGGATCATGAAGATGATTACACCAAATATCGAGGAGGTAAATTTAATGAACCTGAAGTACAGGTTGAGACAGAAGTCACAAATGAAGAAGGTTTATCTACATCACAACCACAAACCAAACCAATGATATGTGTTGAATTGCCGTGTATACCCGAGATGAACACTCAAGATCAAACTACATCTTTCGAACCGGATCTATGGTGGTTAAGAGATCATCCACCGGACCAAGTAATTGGCAACATTCAAGAAGGAGTAAGGACTCGTGTTTCAATACACGAAAGTATGATGGCATGTTTCCTATCTCAAATGGAACCAAAAACCATTGATGATGTTATGAATGATCTAGACTGGGTTACAGCTATGCAAGAAGAACTTCATCAATTTGAACGAAATAACGTCTGGGAGCTTGTTCCAAGGCCCTTTCATCAAAATGTTATTGGAACCAAATGGGTCTTCAGAAATAAAATGAGTGAAGAAGGAATAATTGTTAGGAACAAGGCTCGATTGTTAACTAAAGGATATTGTCAAGAAGAAGGCATACGTTTTGATGAAACATTTGCCCCAGTTGCAAGACTGGAAGCCATTAGAATATTCTTAGCCTATGCTGCCCATATAGACTTCAAAGTATTTCAAATGGACGTAAAAAGTGCGTTCCTAAATGGTCTTCTCGAAGAAGAAGTTTATGTAGAACAACCTCCGGGATTCGTGTCAGATTTAGAAGGAGATAATGTATATCAACTAAAGAAGGCTTTATATGGTCTAAAACAAGCACCACGAGCATGGTATGACACTTTGTCATACTTCCTTATCAATTATGGATTTACAAAAGGGGTGGTTGATAAAACCCTCTTTCGTATTAAAGATGGAGATCATATTCTGCTTGTTCAAATTTATGTTGATGACATTATCTTCGGGTGTACAAACCCAATATTATGTGAAAAATTTTCAAAGCTCATGCAAGGAAAATTTGAAATGAGCATGATGGGAGAGTTGAACTACTTTCCTAGACTACAAGTGAAACAATGTCCTGGTGGAATTTTTATTAATCAGGCAAAGTATACGAAAGATCTTATTCGTAAATTTGGAATTGATGGAAAGACGTCCGTCAAAATCCAATGAACACATCTTTACGCATGGAAATTGACAATGAAGGAAAAGATGTGGATCAAACGAAATATAGAGGGATTATTGGATCTCTCTTATACCTCACAACGAGCAGACCTGATATTTCTTTCGTTGTTGGGGTATGTGCACGATTTCAGGCTAAATCTAAAGAAAGCCATCTAAGAGCAGCTAAGAAGATCCGAAGATATCTTAAGAGAACCCAAAGCATTGGTCTTTCGTACCCTAAAGGATGATCTTTCGATCTAATTGGCTATGTAGATGCTGATTTTGCTGGCTATAAAATTGATCGAAAGAGTACCTCTGGAATCTGCCAGATCCTAGGGGGAAGACTCGTGTCATGGTTCAGCAAGAAAACAAAACTCTATAGCTACTAGTACTGCTGAAGCTAAGTACATAGCAGCTGGAAGTTGTTGTGCACAAATTCTATGGATGATGCAACAACTCAAGGATTATATGGTATAGTGGCATGAGAAGTGCGAATTAATTGTGACAATACTAGTGCCATTGCCACAACCCATAATCCCGTTCTACACTCTCGAACTAAGCACATCGATATCAAATATCACTTTATTCGAGATCATGTTGAGAAGAAGGATATTCTGCTTGAATATATAAGTACTAATGATCAATTGGCAGATATCCTTACCAAACATTTATATGAGAATAGATTCTCATCTCTAAGACACGAGATTGGAATGATTGAAATGACGTGATCAAAAGATTCCTGAGGATATCAAATAAAGATATCTTGTATAAATCTTCACGCAAGATAACACCTTTTCTCACTATAAAAGGACATCCTTTATCACTATAAAAGGCTCACACCAGCTCCTTATAGAATTCTAATGTGCTTTTAAAATCTTTGTTGCAGGTATGAGTCAAAGGAAAGGAAAGGAGAAAATGAGTGAAGAATCAGAGAAACGTGCTGCTCGAAGAGAACTATGGAAGTTTATTTTGCCTTAATTGTTGCGAAACTTTATTTGTTTCGTAACCAATCTCTTGCCATAATCTCTAAATTTCAGCGTATGGGACCAACAAGGATTCACCAAGACTGTTTGCCTTACTGGTAAACAGTAAATATCGGAACATGCGTTATTAGTCAAAGTTGAAATAAATACACTGCTGACTAACGCAAACTCATTGAATGGTCATCCAATTCCCACAAAATTCAAGATTCGTGATTATCAAATCCCGGCTATAAAAGGACGTGAGTTATGATTATGGAATTCACTCACAAACAGAGAAAGATCAACCATGGCTCCTCGTAAACCCGTTACACGAGCACAAACCCAAAGGCAAAAGGAAACTGCTCGAAAAATCTGAAAAGAGCAAGGGGATCTTTATCCTAGGAACAGCCTCAGAGCACCGGTAACATCCCTAATTTTTAAAACTTTTAAAGCTTATGAAATAAAGGCAAATCTATTAGAAATTCCCAAACAGGGAATGAACTAAACATAATAGTCGGGGTGCTATGCCACATTTGAGCTGGAGAGCTCAGATGCACAGGCTAAACTATCCAAACATAAGAAATCCTCAAATCAATATTCGATACACGAGGCACGCAGGCTGATAATTGAACTAATCTATTTACATCCAGGCTCTGACTAGCGCGCGCCAAAGCTAAGGCTCATTACCTAAAAAACATTCGGTATAACAACCGTCAGCGAATGATGCTGGTAACCCACTCCAACGCGTTAAGTACAATATACGTAGATATAAGAAACTCATTTTGAAACTGGAATACATATATATTTAAGAAATTCTAATTTAAATCTGAGAACAGACTCAATCAAGCAGCAGCAGATACATTCAATACAATTAGACTCTACCATAAAGATTCTAGTACGCATCCTAGGGTCTCATGACTGCTCAATATCATTCATATCAATATCCAGTTATCATTACAGTCAAACAATCAACAATAAGTGGGTACATGTGGGTACATGTGGGTACATGTGGGATGCTTATGGATTTCTCCAGTACGTTCTAAACAAGAAGTTTGGGGACACTGTTATCCGTCTACTAATGGAAAGTGGTTTGTACAATTATGTAACTCATGTTTATACCTTCTCTAATCCTTTTGATGTCACAATTTTATTTGAATGCTTCTGTATCTGCTAATGCTTCCATGATCACCTCTAAAGTAAACGGCACAACCATCTCCTTGACATCAGAGGACATTCAAAAGGCGTTTGATTTTCCAGAAAGAGATGTTTCATAAAGTTCGAATTTCTCGTTGTATGTCTATGATCAACGCGCTTTTTATGCCCAAATCAAAAATGCTCAAAGTCAAACTGAGGTGAAGTGGCCTTTGAAGAAGAAATGGTTAAAGCTAGATTATGAGTTTGTTGTAGACATCTTCAACAAAATTTTTGATCACAAGACATCTGGAACGGATGATGTCACCCAATAGAAGTTGAAGATGATTCATGTCTTCCTGTACAGCTACAAAGTAGACTGGACGAAAGTTTTCTTTGAACATCTTCGAAACCATGTCACTGTCGGCAAGACTACGGATGGGGATGTCTAGCGAAAGATTGGATTTGGTCTTATGATAGGCCACCTGCTTAGCTTCAAAAATGTCACCTTAAGAGAAAAGATCTAACCTGGCCCGAAAGTTTTCCACATGAAGTCAAGGCCCTCGGGATATGACAAGCAAAGGCCCATTGAATTGAATCTGCCCATTCCTGAATCAAAGTCAAAATGGAAGTCCAAACGAAAGATGACCTCTGAAAGTGACCAACGTACACCAAAACGACAAAGGCGATCACGAAAGGTTAAGCACTCCTCTGAAGATGGATCATCTCCTTCTCTTTCTGCTGTTCAGGAGAACGAAAGTGATCATGTGTCTCCGAAAGATCCAGCTCATATTCCAACCTCATCTCAGCTTGATATTGAAACCAACGTGGCAGCTGAACCAATTCCTCAACCTGCACCAGTTCAAGCACAGGTCGTGCCCCCTTCAACACAAGTCCATCAGATCAGCAGCTCTGAAAACACTCATGTAAAAAATTCGTCTGAAGGTGAATGTTCAAACATCAACCGAGCAGATTTTGCCAATCTCCACTCTCGACCAATTCATGACAAAGCACAAGAGATCATGACTGAATTAGCTCCATCGCCTACTTCCACCCTCTCCAAATTCAGAAGGACATTGGATACACCCCCGCCTACTGCTCAGGGGGGAGATAAAACCACGAATACATCTGCTGTTAGGAAATTCTCCAAAGTCCTTGCCATTATGCGGGAAAAGAAGAAGCAAAAATCTACGCCCGAAAGTTCCTTTCCACAAGAACCTACTGTTGCAGAGCAGGTCCACCCGATTCTGACACAAGAACCTGCAATAGTAGAAAAGGACAGGTGTGTCCCTTCTTTTTCTGATCTCTTGAGTCTCCCACAAGAACCTGGTTTACCAAAAGAGACGAGAGAAGAGATCAATGAGACAAGTTTAGCTCCACCTCCATCGAAAGATCAACTACTTCGACAATCTATCTTCGAGGAGTATCAACGAGTTTTGCGATGGCAGAAATGGCGCACATCTCCTCTCGACGTCTTCCTTGCAGGACTCAATGATATGAAAGAAGAAGAGACCTTTGCCTTAGACTGGATGAACACGAAGGATGTTTATGAGGCAGTTCTGATTCCAAAGATTTCACGAGCATATTCCTACAAAATCACAAACAGAAGTCCTGGAAAAGATAAGGCCCCCAGTCTTTCTTGACATCGTGAAACCTTCATATGATGATCCAACCTTTGAGGCCGAAATCAAGACTGAGCTTGAGAAGCTTTACAAAAATGATCCTCATTTCAGTACCAGTGGAACGAAAGATATCAAAGATCACATCCATCTGCCAGCTGATGCACAAGAAGAGCAAGTCTCTAAGCCGAATGATTCTGAAAATGAGATTGCTGAGAGTGCTGCGAATGTGCAAACTGATGAAGACAAAGATACTGAGAAAGATGATGATGAAGAAGAGAAAAACGATGATGAAGAGAGGAATGATGATGAAGAAGATGAAGCTGACGAGAACAGTGAAGAAGAAGATGATGCTGATGACAATGATGATGATGAGGGTGATAACAACATTGATGATGGAAATAATGATGACCCGAATGATGATGGTGGTAAAATAGTGATGCTAACTCCAGCGATGATAATAACGATGATGATGAATCTCCTGACATTGGACGAACTAAGATGATTCCTCCTACGAATCTCTACTCTCGTTCAAAGGATGACAAATCTTGGATCCCGAAAGCATCTCATGATGACAAAAGGGAAGCATCATTGAGTATGGCACCTATCACCCCCAGTCGAACTGAGCATGGCATTCAGACTGACAATGAAACCCTTGATATTGAAGCAGTCTTGACACTTCTGACAAGAACAGTTGAAGCACTCCACAAGCAGCATCTACGATACAATGAGCAACGTGAAGAATATGCTGAGGTAATGACACATTTGTCTACTCAAATGTCTCTCATCTCGGCTCAGCTAAGTTCCATGAACAAGGAAGATCAAAAAGCAAAATCATCAACTCCACCAGCTCAACAACCTGTTGATCTAAGCCATCAAACTGAAATGCTTGAGAAGATTGCAAAGGAACAACACTCGCTCAAGCTTTCTCAATTCTGTCTAAAAGAACGAGTGGATGTCTCGTGTCTGAAAGTTGATACAGCCAATGATAATCTCTTTGCCATGGCCGAATATCAACTTCAGATCTTGAACTATGTCAAGGATCTTTCCATCAAAGTTGATTCACTGCTAAAACCTTCTGATCCCCCCACCGATGGTGATGATGCCAAAAAGGGGGAAAAGGGACATAGAAAAGATGATGATGATGATGTAGATGAAGGAAGAAGAAAGGAACCCGAAAGAAGAAATGAAGGAACCTTCGGCCATACATTCAACACACCTTCTTTCGAGCCTCAGTAGCAAACACCTTCAAAGTCAAGACATGAAGCTCCTTCCAAGTCTCGACAGCAGTCCATAAGACCGAGACCTTCCTATGGATCACAATCTGTCTACTCATTTGCAGGACTATCTCGCCAAGACAAGATCAATCTTCGAAGAAAGCTAATGAGAGGCAACAAGGTAACAATGGACGGATCTGGAACTTTCGTTCAGTATGAAGAGTACAAAAAAGGGAAGTGGCTTAAGATTCGAAGGATACAACTTGCCAATTTGGCTAAAGAAGAAGGATAATCACACCAGGCAAGATTATCAATGGAAACAGAACAAGAGAATAAGGGAAGAAAATGAAGCTCACAGACTTGAACAAGAAGAGGCAAGAAATCTGAGGAAACAAGAGCTCACCAGATACCAAGATATGTAGGAGAAAATAAAAGATGTTTCAAAAATAGGAAAGGTTGCAGACATATATGTTAAATATGATGCCACAACAAAAGTTCACCGAGAATCTAGGAAAAGCTATGTTGAAGGAATGAACTCCATAGAGCTTGTAACTTGGTGGAACCATGGCATTATATCAGGACGAAACATCCTAGAAGCCTACAACAACAACATGAGTTATAATTTTGGAGAAAAATATGATGCTCAAGTTCGGGAAAAACCTCTCCGAGAAGTCAGAGTCGCAATCAACAATGAAATAGACTTTGATAATATGCTCAAGAAACAGAAGGGACGAGACGACAAAGAGAGGATGGAAGCTCAACAGGTGAAACAAAGCCTTTTGCCTTGTAATAATTTAGTTCACGAAAAGTATTTCTTATATTGAATTTTGCATTTGATTAATGAAAATTTCTTCTTGCATGATCTATAAGTACTTTCTGTTTTTGACTTAGGCAGTTTTGTAATTTTCTATAGATCATTTTGTACACTCTTCTAAAAGGCTGTTTTGTAATATAATTTTCCTTTAAAGGATATCCTCCAGCCTTATAATAAGAGTATAGGTTTTGGCATCATCAAAAAGGGAGAAATTGTTAGGAACAAGTGTTTTTAGATTTTGATGACACCAAACTGTCTTAGAATGTAGACCCCTATTTTTCATTTATTAGATAAATCTCGTATGACATAGGCATGAGATGTTAAACACTGCACGAGACTAGTAGAATAGGTCTACATGAAGATTCGAAGATGACCGAAAGATGCTTCCGGACAAAAGATGGTTTAAAGCAAGTCTCGGATGGACGGCTTCTACAAAAGGAACCTTCGTCTAAGAAGAAAGGACGAAAGATGAGGACAATCTTTCGTCTCTCATTCTTAAGTGAACAAGTCAATGACAGACTTGTAGATATACAACATTCAAGGAAACAATGAGAATGTTATCTATCACTCAGATGGGCAAATCATTCAGACAAAAAGTGTCCTAGGAATGATTTTCACTAAAGACAAGGAACATTAAAAGGCTTGTACCATCTTGTCAGAGATCAAGGACAAAAGCCATAATGCTTTTAGCTCCAACGCCTATACAGTACAAGTGTATTAAATGCGTTTTGCCCACTAAGTAATACACACTGGTTTTTAGGTTTGAAATATTTTCATCTCCCTCCAACGGATGGATTTTTCCACCTATAAATACCTCTCTTCACCATTGAAGAAGGTGCTGGTTAACTCACTCTTGCAATCCTAAGAAAAGCTCTTCAAAGCAGTTCTATCTTCTTAGCTTTTCATAACTAGTGTTTGTTGTGAAGTTTTTCAAAGGCACATCCATCCTCATACTTCACAACTTGAAGCAGTCTTGTACTTTTCTCAAGTGAAGATCAATCCAAACGTCAAGACAAGCTTCAACCTGTTGGAGAACCATCAGATTACTTTTCCAACATCTCAGCTTAGGAAGAAGTTGATAGAGGCGGAGTAAACTCTAGGAGTTGAAAAACCTTTCAAGTGGCTGTCTGGCTTAGTGATCAAGGAAGCTAGCTTGAAGTAGTTTGTACTAGGAGTGATAGTCTAAACCCTTTCACGAGTTGTGAAAGAAGATTGGAGTAGGCACAGTTGGCCAAACCACTATAGAAATCTCTCTGTCCATCTCTCTTTACTTATCACTTTTACTTTAGTGTTTTGCATATCACACAACATCGACCAAACGCTAAAACTTTACTAACACGAAGGCGTGCAAAGAAAATTTAACATATGATACTATTTCCGCTGCATATATCTCCGAAAGGAGTTTATTGGAAAAGAATCGATTAGAGTCTATTCACACACCCCCCCCCCCCTCTAGACTCTCTCTGACCCTACCAGGAGCAACACCCATCGGCAGAGTTTGAAATGAAAGATTTGAAAAACCCAAGTATGACTTGGAGAGACTTGGGTATTGGCTATTGACAAACGCTTTCGCTTACGGTTCTCATTTTGGATAGAGTGATCAAAAGTGTATGTGTTCGGAGGTAGGGATGAAGAATGGAAAGGCGTAAAACGGGGAGTGAGAACCACCCCGAGTATTGTACCCAAGGAATGGTAACTCGAAATCTTAAAAATGGGTCACGACAAGGTAGGTCTTGCTTTGAGATGCTTGATTCAAGGATTGGTTGAAAAAGGAATATATGGGTTGGAAGGAAGAAAGAAAAGATTGCTTTGAAGAGATTTAGAAACAAATAGGTAGAAACAGATTAGGATTTTCGTGTCGATTGCAATGTGCGATTGGCTTATTTCCGAGGACGTTGTGTTGATTGAATGTTGGGTTACAAGTCAAGAGAAATGCGCTAATGCGTAGCTATTTTGGTCTATACGCCTCCCATAGACAAATATAACACCCGAGTGTTCATAATCTCTACGGGGCATTTAAACGAACACCATGCCTACATTCCTTCCCGGACCTTTTGTCATCTCGGATCTAGGGCGGAGAATGTGAAAGGATCAAGGGGCTTACCTCAGTTTAGAAATCTCTTGCCTAAACCTCGGAATCCAAATCATCCAAGGAGTTGGGCCCCACTCCAAGCAAGCTACAAAAGATCATCCTCCACAACAAGACATTCATAACTCCAATCAAACAATCATCACAATATAACAATCAACTTAAGCCAATCATCACAATAGCAATCTCCACTACAATCCAAAATCCCTAGAATTTAGCCACTCTTGCTCAAAATCAAACAATCTAAACATATGCAAGGTAAACTTCGTCAAGATAAAGCAATAAGAGATTGGATTCGAAATTTACCAAAATTGCAAGCTAGATTGTTAATCCAACGGATTAGAGATGAAGGTCTTGCAAGGAGATGTTTGGATCTTCACTTCTATACAAGATTGATAGAGTTTTTGGCTAAATGTAGTGAGGAAAAATGAAGAACTAAACTAGATCTAAAATCTCTCTCTAAAATAGAAATTCTCTCTCTAAAAATTCTGCGTAACTTTGTGTAACCTCTCTCTCAAATGAAGAAGAAAAACCTTAAATCTCCAAAGCTTCTCATTCGGCATCCTATTTACGCCGGCGTAAATGGGATTTTATTGCCTTCCACGCGCGTCCTCCAGCGAGCACCTTACGCGACTCCTCACGCCGTGGTGCACTGCGCAAATGGGGCCTAATTCCTTTTCCGTGCACGTCTTTCCTCCTGCTTGTTACGCAGCACGTCACGCCATAAGGCCAGCGTAAATGGGAAATAGTTCCCATTTTCTTCCTTACGTGCATGGCTATAGCGTGAATGGTGCCTCAAATGTGCCTTTTTCCTTAGCTTTGTCATTTTTGTCATCTTTTGCTACTTTTCTTGTCCAAAATCATCTAAAAACATGAAAAACTAAGAATGGAAGGATATCTACGTGCTAAACTGTGTTTTCATGATAAATTACTCTAAAGCACAAGAATTTAAGGCTAAAACATGAGAGAAATACCTTCAAAGTGCTCTTAAAAACTAGCATCTTTTGATGCTTATCAGCTATTTTGTTTGATCCCTGTGATGCCAAATTTCAAACTAGTTAAACAATGAATTACCCCCAATGCCCCAAATGAGGACAATAATGCTTGTGTTGCACAAATGATATATGAGTATGTTGAAGAATATTTGACAAAGCATATATAGCATCAAAATTCAACAATATGAGCTCTAGAAGAGTCACAAAATTATTGTGCAACATATTCACTCTAGTGACCATCCAGAAGATTTGTCTAATCCATTCCTACAATTTTTGGAAATATATTTTATGTGTGGGATTTGAAGATTGTTATCTTGAGGGGGAGTATCATTTTTCATGAATCAATCCTGAAGATTGGTCCTTTACGACTAACGGTTATACTCTTTTTCC